GCTCTGTGAATAACATATGCAATGGGCGGACGATTGTGGAGGTGATGAATTCTTTCGCCCCCTGGGAGAGACTTCGCGAATCGGCATTCAATCCTGCAGCCGCTCCAAGCATCCGGGCCCGTCGTTGCAGAATGATCGGTTTATACGACTCTTTGAGGAAAAGTGCTGGCGGGTGTAAAACGGCAGCCATCATGAGCGGCGTCCATGCTGTCCATCGCCAGCCTCGGTGCTCCACCACAAAAGACCCTATCAAAGGCCCCATTGCGCTGCCGATGGACGGAACAGAGTAGTAGATTCCTAGCGGAATGACCCGCTGCGACGGTGGTGTATAATCGGTAATGGTAGCTGCGGCGACAGAAATCCCAGGGGCTGCAAACAAGCCCGCAACAAAGCGGCAAGCAATGAGAGAGGCGATATTGCGCGACTGACCAACGCCAATGGTAAAAATATCGGCCAGGGGCGTAAGAAGATAGACCAGCTTGCGGCCAAAGGTCTCGGACAGGGGGAGGAAATCATAGGTCCAAAGGCCAGCCCTAGCGAGTACGCCGAGAGTGGTAACAACGACACAGTAGTTGATACATTGAATTGCTCTTTGACTTGTTCATGGCCCGCGGAGTATATAGAAGCTCCCACTGTAGTTGCAAACCCAATCAAGCAAACAATCACTGTGGATGTAGTCTTTCGAAAAGTGGACCAATTCCTAGGGTTTTCCTTGTCGTCGCCGCCGTGCCAATCTTGGAGAATGCCGTCTGCCTTTTCTGCCTCTATATGGGCATCGTGATGGTCTGCTTCCATGATTCACTGCAGTCATTGCTCGTCTTGTGGACAGTGGGGAAATCGATAGCAATTTAACACGCAGGAAAGGACTGAGAAACAGCCATTTCATAGGGTTCAGCTGAGAATTACCACCGAAACTGTTGATAGCCGAGATGCCGAATGAATATCGGAGTAGATGCAACCTCAAGTGACACTGAGCATCACATATGCAGACAGAGAGCCTCGTTGGACCCCTCAGGACATTTAGTTGGGATCTCGATTGCCGACACAACTCAACGATCACAACAAACAAGCTCATGGGGGATTTGAGTAGAGCTTTCCGGTATATTCTCGTTTACTGACACAGCGTACCTAGGCCATTTCGGTCACAGGGACACAGGACTATCCATATTACCATTGCATAGAAAGAGGCCCGAAAAAATGCCCGACACGCGACACCCCCAACTGACCGCGATCTGCGGGTGGGGTGGGAGAAAGACACATACATAGCTATCCGATTAGAACACTCCCAAACAAGAATGACTCATGTCTAGGAATGCGCTGCAACTAACTATCGGCCTGGTTTAGTTCAGGGAAAGGGAGGGAGAAGTCACTATATATTTCCGATCCTATGGCCTGACGTATATTGTTTAGGGTTATGTACAGTACCGTATACCACTTCAGAAAACGAGATCGGAAAATGACACATAAATGACTGGAACACCTCATCCATTATAGGGAACCAGAGTTAGCGCTGGCTTAAAGCGTAAGTACAATTTTCGTCCCGCTGACTCCTTTCTTGCAGTGCGTCGAGCGCCTTGTTCAGTCCTTCAAGTCCACCGCCCATAATCTGAATATGTGGACTGGGAAATAAATTGTCCGGACGCAAGTTTCTCTGTGAGCCAGACTTCTGAACGTCTGATGGAAATACTCCTGTCTCTCTACAGGATCCAAGGGGGGTAAACGAATTTCGCTTCGATACCCTCCACAGTCGGTGCATCCGGAGGCAATAAGGCGGCATGTGCTATCTTTGCAACTGCATCCCCCTTCAGCTCTTTAAGAATCTCCATTGTTGGCTCCAAAGAACCTGCCACAGCATCATAAGCGTTGTGCAGGGAGACCCCATCGTCCCTGGCAGCTTGAATGATTTGCGCAACCACATCCGCATCCTTATAATCGAACGTTCGGTCCGCGCCCAGTTGTTTGAGATATTCATGGTGTCTCGCGCTGGCGGTTGTATAGACAGTGAACCCCATGATCTTGGCCGATTGAAGCGCTGCACTGCCCACGCTGCTGGAGGCCCCCCAGACCAGGCATGGCTTTCTTATCCTCAGGCGTGTATTTGTATCATGTGGAATGCCAATCACATACCAACCGTCCCAGGCAGTCAAGACAGCCATCGGCAGCATCGCCGCTTCTTCAAAGCTCAGACTATCCGGTAAAAGAGCTACAGCCTGGGCTGGAGCCAGCACGTATTACTGGAATGCGCCATAATCCGGCAATCCGTTCTCAAAGAATGCACTAGCAAATGCTGTGACTCTCGCTCCTGGCTTGGGGCGCATCCGCCGAAACATTGGATCCAACCTTGACCACGATGCCCGCGACATCTGAACCCAGGACGTGGGGTATTGCGGAATAGGCGGGATGCCTTGGTCCCTCTGATAATAGTCGGCGATGTTAACTGCGATAGCCTTCACCTCGATAAGTATGTCGTTCGTCCTGGTTCGGGTGTTGGACGCAGGGAGATTGACATTGGGGCATCCTTTTGCGGAAGAATGACGGCTAAATGCTCGCCGGGAGTGCTGGTACTCGAAGTCATTGTGATTGTTGTTGTTCGTTCTGAGCTGATGGACTGAAATGTTTCAATCCCTACTCTGGATTTATCTACTAAATCTGCCCGGAATTAACCTCCAAGCCTGTCTCCGTATACATTACTCGACATTCCTTAAAATCCGGGCGGATTTAGCCCATCTTAAGCCCGGACATTGGAATCTTTCTTATTCAACTTTCCCTCTTGCGCTGACGACTGTCAGAGCTAAGTCGTGTATATGCATTCACGTAGCTATCATATGCCCTAAACTTAATACAACCGATATCTATACATAGCTTCGGGGCAGGAACTAATCTTGACTGTCAAAATCTAAGATTATCACTCTTTACGTATCTCATGATCGATAGCACCTAGGTAGGAATGTGGACTTGCCAGAGGATTCCCGATACCCTCTGGATATAAGACCCGTGGAGTCAACAGGTAATATCCACAACCCCGAATATTCCGAACGACTTGGATCCTGTTTTCCATTCAACTTCTTTTCTTCAACTCTATCCATTTCTGCAGAACAGACGTCATCCAAAAGTCGAGATTTGCGGGTGGATGCGGAAAAATGCAGGGGAGATCCAGCGATTATACACCGGTCCAAGATGCGGTTGGGGTTGGTGGTTGAAGATGATATGCTTGCGACAGTCGAATAAGACTCATAATATCCCTTATGATAAGTATTACTAGGATGCTATTTTGGTTAAGTTGTGCCCTTGAAGGAGACTGAAGGTGGTCAAGTTGATTTTATGTGACTCCCTAGTTGTGAACGCGGAAAAAAAAAAAAGAAAGCGAAACAAGCACTCCGTAATTCGCTTCGGAAATATAAGGATTAAGGATATAATCAACACCAGACACACTAGGATAATCTATTTTCACCAATAGCCGCTTGTCCCCACTCACCATGACTCGCTGCCACACAATCCCCTTCTCGAACGCGCTCCAAGGCAATTTATGCCAGACACTGGGAGTAGTAGGCATTGGAATAAGTGCAGGTGGACCCGGATGCGCAGCAGGTAGCGCCTTTCCAGCCTAGGCCACCACACTGGGCGTAAATAGAAGCGCACTGTTGCTAGAATGTTAGTGAAACTATCCGGCACCGACCTATCTCAGGGGTTGAAACTCACACTTTCCGAGCCGCCAGAGGAGGTGCGATCGGAAGCAGTAGTGTGAGTGGTGGTCTTGGTGGTAGTGGTGGTGCTACTTTTAGAGGTACCGCTGCTGGACGACCCTCCCGATGAGACCGTGATCGTGGACTTGCCACTGCTTTCATATCCTTCGGTGGACACAATCTGATAGTTGAAGGCACCCAACTTCATGCCGAGACTTGCCCATGCATTAAAATGGTTGGCGGTGGTGACAATACCGCTGGAACGCTTGCTGCGGCGGATGGACCAGTACTGATTAAAAGTAGCCGTTCCTGAAATTGAAGGCTGGTTGACTTGCTGGTGCTCATAGATATCGTAGGTAGCGCCGTCACTGGTAACGGTTCCCTTGTGCGTCATGCTGGAGCCCGGGTTGTAATCGCCGTAGCTCTCGAGGATATAGTATTCAACTAGTGGGCTGGTAGTCCAGCCATAAACGGAGAGATAAGCGTTACCCGATGGACTGAAGGTACCGGAGAATGTAATGTCACTAAAAACAAAAAAAAAAAAAGAATGGGGTCAGTATGTTTAGCGTGCTTCAGGGTCCGAAGCCACACACTCACTGAGCACTACCTGGATTCCACCCCTTTCCGCAGGTGAAATCCCCGCCGTTTTGGTTTGCCCAAGTCACGCTGTATTCGCCAGCATTGCCATTGGTATAGGATACAGCACCGTCGCCGTTGGTCCAGAACGAGTAGTAGAATCCATTGTTGGTGCCGGTCTGGCTGGTGGTGATTGTCTGGCGCTTGGAAAGCTCGCCGGAGAGGTCGCTGGGAAGGGCAAAGACCCCAGCAGCAGCGGACAGCCCAAAGACCAGAGACGAAAGTGTAACCATGTTGAAGAGTTAATGGCCGATAGAGGTGTTCTTTGAAGATGGGGTCTAGATGGCTTTTATACCTATGTACTACCCCCTGATAATATCAAGCTCCACGCGGACCCTAGCTAGCTGGAATTGGCGAATAGCCCCTATTTGTCTGGATAGGAGTCAGGGCAGTATCATATTGAGAAACTGATCCATATCCATGGCCCATGTTTATATTAACCGGGGAGTAGCCTATTCCGATGCTCCGAATAGATGTTTCTCTTTAAGAAGTTGTGTTGCTTATGATTGCTTGTATGTATTAATGTCTTATAGAGGTAGGTATATCGATGTACTATCAAGGTCCAGCTCCATTCACTGTTATTTGAATAATGAGATTCCTATTGAAACAGGATCTTAGTTGTATGGTATATCCAGGAAATATCATCACGGCATGCCATACTTCAGGGCTTACTTACAGTACTAGTTGTTAGTATCTGGAAATAAGAATCTCATCTCATGCCTTTCCAGGAGATACCTCCCTAGTACCAACTTATTGCGTCCAGTTAATCAAGTATTCCCTGTTCTGACATTCGGTCCTGCCTTCCGTCTCTACCTTTTTCCCTTCCTCAACTCCTCCCCTTCTTGACTTTTGTATTCGTGATGAAATAACTGCTATGAGATTACTCTGGTTGATTTTCTGCTGTGACCGTACGAAATCTCATGTCAGATTTCACTGTGACTCTGGGACAGGAACTTCAGCAGGTATAGTTGTTGAGTTGGTACTACCTATAGCCCAACACATCTACTCTGGAAGTGTAAGGCAAATCCAAAGATGTGGATAGGTGGATTCATAAAACGCCAGGTAGACAATGAAACTACATTAGTGGCTGCACTTGAGCAAATTTGCGGCAGATTCTATCTGGAAGCCCGATCTATCTATCTCTATCACCATACAGACTACAGCATTTCAGGATGCATGAAAGAAGACAATGAATGAGAGTGGAGTTGATGGTGCCACTAACATCAAACAAAAATGATATTAGGGCTCTGGCTTCACTGTAGCATGTTGAAGTAGTGTTCCTCGTCGTGTCTCTGGAGGCCTTGCGACGTCTTTCGAAAGAATATGACCGCTATCTTCTTCGCCAGCATGTTCACCTGGTCAACCCATCTTTTCTTGGGAGCCTTTGCAACGGTAAAGTTTCCCACGACCATGATTTCCGGGCGTATAATGACAGGTGAGACGATCCTCATCGCAAACGAGCGCGGGAAATGAAGCTACAGTGTGCTGTGGCTAATGTGTATGGACCCGAAGTGCTATCAACCCCTATGAATGACTTCAGATGTAATAACGGACACTTTTCTATTTTGTACGGACTGGAAGAGAGATGAGACGGGCATATGAAGAAGTTATTTTTATGTATTCCATCCCATCGAACAATAGCGGACCCTAGTGTACTAACCCAATTTCGATTATACTCGCAACGCTATACGGGGGCTGAGAGATACTGAGTATGTTTAATTTGGAGTTGGAGTTGGCCAGAAGCTTCCTCCAATCTTGTTTGGTCCGCTCTTTGCATTTACCATAACCATCATTTGAAGATCCATAGACCTAGGTAAGGATTCGTTCGTTAATCAGCCTGGATGAATCTCTATTTATCACCTTGCTTCTCGGGCTTCCTACCTGATCATTCGGTGTGCCTGCCAGGGTAAGGTACCAGGCTCGGGGATCACAATATCAACGACGATGATCCGCGCAGTCGGCTTCATAACTGAGGCGATGTTCCACAGGATCTTACTCGCGTAGTCATCACCCCAGTCGTGAATGATATGGCGCAGTAGATAAACGTCGGCTGTAGTCTGTGGGTTTGGATGGAAAAAGTCATGGACTTGGAACTGCATGGTCCGACGACAACCCGGCGGCGGTCCGATTCTCTAGCAAAATCTTGCTATGGTCTTCAATATCCTGGATCACGAAGCGCAGGTTCGGAAAGCATTCGGCAATCGCAACACTCTGGAACCCTGACGAGCCGCCACCTACGGACACTGTAAGCTTATACTTGATCAACTGAAAAAAAAAAAAAAAAGAAAAGAAGAGGGATAAAGAGAGTAACGTACATCGACGACAAGGCCGTTCCCATATTGTCCCCAGTCATATCCGCGCACGATATGAGAGGCATCATGGCTCCCTGCGTGACAGCCTGCATTGACTGTTCAAATCTCGATGCTCTCCATGGCTGGTCCTGCAATAATCCAGCAAAGAAGCCCTTTGGCTGGTTGAACACTACCCCACAGGGAGTATGTCCAGGGTCCGCGGATGTGGGATGGTTTCGAATCGCGTCGGGAACAGCATGTAGACAGCGAAACACCTCGTCGTAGTTATGGCCCAACCATGCGGCCATTTTGGCATCGGTGACGAACACTGAGGATGCATCGGAGTGGGCGACGTATCCGGGGTTAGGTTCACGGAACAAGGTGATTGAGCATGGCATGGCGGAGGACACGGCGTAGGGGTCAACGGGGAGTCCGCAGGCCGCACTGAGTTCCTCATACGATATTTCCCCATTCAGAGGCACAGACTGATGGATGTTGAACTGATCGATCATGTAGTAGCATAAATGGTCATGCTTGTTCTGCATCCAAGTCAGCATCATCATCATCATGTCGCCAATGGCGTCTAACCCACCACCGCCAATGTCATTTTCAGCCACTCAGTAGGGCCCATCGCAAGGTACTGAAGGTCGTTGGCTGTCTCGAGCAGACTGAGACGCGCCGATGTTAGTTCCTCATACCCTGGGCCAGTAGGATATCCTTCCTTCCGAACAGTGTGGATCTCCTGCTTCTCCAAGCAGCATGTAATGTCAGCCAGTCGAGCCTGGATGTCTTTGGCGTACTCCAGAAGGTCTGCTTGCACCATAGTTGCTGGGACGCAATGCCAGAATGTACCTCGTGAGCTGCGTATAGTATTCGATATGTTAACACTGTGATGGATGGCTTTGGGCATAATATATAGCGGCCCCTACTATGTCCGCAGAATCTGTGTACGTGAAACCACAACAACATCTTAATCACTTTCTGAGTAAGCCTGCCAAAGCCAATATACGTAACTGTGAGTTCACCTTCAGCCTGATAACCCAATTACTCAGATCAAGATCCTGTTACTAAGGTGGGAACGCCATATAGGGTACAGAACGCGAACGCGAACTCGCGGGCGATGTCCGCCGCACTTCGCAGCGGTATCAGCACTATGTAATAGTCTCTTGATATTGATTTGGGAACCATACCCACAAAGATCCGTTCAATAATAGTGAAATTGAATGGGTGTATTATAAAACACTTCGCCTCCTGTTGACTAGTAGACTCACGAGTACACACATATTTAGCAAACGTGGGAGAGGTAACTGTAGACAGACAATATCCCCCTTTCGTTAGTTCCAGCTACAACTTACCTTTCAGATCAGAGCTCCTCTGCGTCCCGGCTCTCGACTTTGCGACGTTAACCCACGCGTCGGTGCTTTTCAACATATCACGATCCGACTTTTTTGCTTCGATATTCACTCCAAACCCTGTCTCTCTGCGTCCAGTTCTTGAACCATTTCTCAATCCATTCTGCACCCACTGTGGCACACCACTGCCCATTTTCAAATGGGATAAAATGAGAGCCATTGTCCAGGGCCACCTTCTCGACCATGCGCCTTGTGCCGCTCCATCCCCGTCTTTTCCGCTGGGTTTCCGGTGCAGAAAGATAACTTCTCTTTCCAAAAAACCCAAAGCACACTCGGTCGC